GAAGACTATGCAGTGACAATTTGTATACCAGTATTTCAGCTGTAACCACCAAAACGCACCGAAGAAAGTAATTTAATAACGCAAAATTAGTACTTCGATTTACCAACGATACAATACAAACGGGCATCATCTTGAGAAGACTATGTACGAGGCTTATATCACTTTGCAAGGTAATCTGCTTATCTTTAAAGTTTGATAATCGTCTGATGAAAATTGTTCGATAATGCGTTACAAATAAGACTTTTGGAGAAAAAATGATCGCAGTTTGGTAATTACGTATAGATTCATGTATTCAGCAACGAGTCCTCTATTGTGTAAGGTCTGTGACACTGCCTGGCTACTTTGATCTCGATATGGTAGACTGCAGTTCTAAAATGTAAACTGCTGGTTAGTAGTTGTCTGTCTGGTCTATTCAGCAACTAACACGTTCATCCTAAGTAGGTACAAATAAGGTAAACTTAAGGAAACCATACTTTTGAGTCACGAAATTTCCACTGTCATTTAGTTACGTAGGGTGGTGAGTTGAAGAAGTTTAGAAGTTCACATATTATTTTATCAAAACATTGCCACTGATTTGGATCAGCTCTGAGTGTCTATGTACTTCTGCATGCCAAGTATGCTGAACTGCTGTAGTCTATATCAGAAATCCGTGTAATGTTATCCTTGAATTTAATTTAAATATTTAATGGAAGCTGAATTTCTACGGAGTGAAGGAGTTATAGATGACGTCACTAAAGCGAAATTCCATCCTTGTCATTGACGTTTGGAACTGCTGGGGGAGGGGGTTGTTGCGGCTTGTTTGCGGAGGTGCTCCCTTTCGTTTCTGATTGGAAATTGTCTCGAATTCCGGTTATTAAACTATTTATTGTATATCTACTTGTATTTTACAAGTGGTGGCTGTACTTAGAACAAGTATTCTAGCTACAGTTCGTCTAACCACCACACGAACAGTCTAGACGTTTAGCTGTTGGTCAGCGTAGCACCAAATTTTCTACTAGATGCGATATTATCATTTCTGGCATGGCCACAAAAAGTTGTACAGCCAGGGGACCTTATAGCAAAACAGTTCCGCTGAATGCATGAAAATATTGTACCTATTGCCAAGCATTTTGTCCAGCTGTTCTGTGCAAATAATCTTGGTTTAGAGGACACTTCTTCTGAAAAGAAGCATACTGTAAATATTCAGTATTTCGTCCCGACATTAAACATAAGTGCAGACGATGTTATATTCTGAACAGGAAGGACTTATTTTTTCACAAGCTATTTTCTCAATAAATTACCTAGGTAGTAGTCACAGATTATTCCAATGGCGGAGGGTACTAGGCAAGATAAGCAAGTCGATTGATGGGGTTGTAAACCTTAGTAGACTGAGATAACTTGGACATGTGCCGCGTATGCCGGTCCAACACCTATCTCGATGTGCCATGCTAAGGGAAGTTGGATTAGGTTGGAAGAGGGTTCGGGGTGGTCAGACCAAGACGTGGCACCAATCAATGAAGTCTCTTACTGTCGGTCTGAGTTGTGTGTGGGGGATGTGTGGACTGGCTGTTTGGGGTCACCGAGACGAAACGAATCAGTGGTTGAGGGCTCTTGGTGACATGGCTGGAAATCGGTCATAGTGGGGCAGATTTATTCACTTCGTGACATCTTCTAAAGCTTTAATATTTGCAATAACCCTTATCTTGAAATTGTTTGTCTCACATAAATTTGTCTACTTTGATATTACTTTTCTATCCACCTGTACTTTGTGTACTAGTGTGAAGGGAGGCAGCTTGAGCCAATGTAGCTGTGTGCGAGGTTTTACGTTGACTTTGTCAGTCAGTCATGCCAGTGGCTTTACTGGACTATGAAATCTTCAGACAAAATGTATCGATAGAGCTTGGTCAGTCGTCAAGACTAGAAAACATGAGACTGATTACATTCTAGTGACTAATCAATGTACCCAACCCGTTCCTATAGGAGACCGGTCGCAGCCCGATGGTAACGTCACTGGGTTCAAATCTGAGAGGAGACACCAGCTCCCTTGTTGACAAGTGCCAAAAGATACGAAACCGAGATTCAGGGCTTTCTCCTGATTGGCTTTATACAACTAGAATCTGTCCCATGGTGAGTTTGCTAACTTGGTGGCCACACTTCGAAATCGTCGATGGAAATTCGGTCAGCACTGGGAACTAGAAAACATGAAGTTGGCTGCTCTCCAGTGACTAATCAATATTTATTAAATTATTTAAGAAACTAAAAGTAACTATAGCCCAAACGCTATATGGATGATCATGGTGACTGGTAACATACGTAACATAGTAACGCTGAAAGGGTGTGCTATCTACAAGCATGGCGACTTCAACATATATAGGGTTGCTTTTCAATCAATCTTTTATTCTACTGCGTGATAATTGAAGGTGAGATGAGAATCTCGACCGCGGCCGGATTCGAACCAGTGCCCTCCACATAATATAAGTAATAGTCTGCCAAACTACGGCTATCTCAGATGATAATCTGTTTTCCGTTGAAAAAGTAGCAGCAACCGTGTGAAATTTCGAGCTTTAGGTACTGAGCCAAACCTATTATGTGAGTTCTGATGATACTGTTTAACTGCTGATATAGTTCCGTAGATGGAATAGAGATTTAAACCCATGATCCATTGGTTGAAAGACATCTGGACCAATGAGTCATAGCAATACCGTTTATGGATCAACCGCTGTATTTACAGACTATATTAACTTTTTGGAGCAATATGAGTTAAGTTTAAACAGTGCAACTCTCATCATCATTATCAATATCAGCATAGGACCAGGGCATTACTGCGTAACGGTCCGAGTTGCCACAGCTCATAACAGTGCAACTCCAATCATTCATAGTCTTGTATGAGACTTTGAACAATACTCTCAATCTAATGAGCGTTAGTCAAAATATCGGTATTCAAAACCGGATTGGAACTTTCACCTGTAGATTGGAAATCAAACCCATAGACCAGTAAACTATAACCCGAGACATTTAATTTATGGTTGATTGGTCGTTAATTTAATGTTTAGCTGAAATAGCATTACAGTATAGAGAAAGAAGTTTTGTTCTGGACCTACGTTGTGTTCAGATACCTTTAGAAGTTACCAGTGTAAAGAACTGTGGATACTGAAGAAGTCGAAGTATGAACGGTTAAGTACTTGAAGACTGCTACGCTGACATGATGAGGGGTAGGCTTGGTGGTACAAGTCTGACTAAAATACCTTTTTTGAGACATTATTGTGTGTTCTCATCGAGAGATGAACTTTTCGAGTGATCCTACATTTTCTTTTTTCCGAGGGAGGGTTTGGAGATAGTGATTGCAAAAATTCACATACTTTAACCTACTGGATTCAATTACCAATATAGGAGCTCTCTGAAGTACGTTCCGTGGTCATGCAGATATTTCAGAGCAGAGGTTACTACAGGTGTAAATACCATTCCATACCATGAAGATGGTCGTAGGAGTGGGACTGATGGTGTTGCTAGTTTTTGCTACAACTTAACCCTTGGGTCAAGACTATTCCTAGACTCATCCAAACATTTTTCGCGATGTTGAGTATTAGGGAGGTGTAGATCATTTATATACTCAGCTATGCATATTAATTAAAGGGCAGTGAACTGAATAAATAAGATTCTCACCTGATCGCAACTTGCCATTCATTCAGTTATTATCTCCACAACTATCTCGTGTTTTTTAACTTAGAAATCCCAATCGATACATAATTGTACCATATTGTGTAAAAATTGAGTGAGAAGAGCTAGTCGAATCTGTACTGAGCTTTATTTGCTTATCATACACACAATAAACATGCACTGGTATATGTATTGAATAATATGTTCAGATTGTTTTGGAAACTCCTACTGAATTATTGGCTTTTCGTGGACGTGACGTTGAGTTGTGCAGTTTTTAGTAAGTAGAAATAATTTGATGTTATGCTACTACTACAAATCTAGCTGTAGCCTTGTCGTATTGGCCTTAATCAACTAAAGCCTGCTTGTTTTTAATACAAGAGTAGAGTTTGGGTGCTACGGTGTAGGTTGTAGTTCTATTACAGTTCTTTCACTTATGTGCACCACACAGTGGAAAAGTATTATTCACTAATGAACTTTAGAGAAGGATTCATTACTCATAATCATACCAAGAGAAGCACACAACCTTCTAGTCTAGTTTTTACAGTTCTTTATTCTTAGGTAGTAAAGTTTTCCACATGTCCGGAAATGGCTGTTACTTCGTCATCCTTATTACATATTTCTATATGATAAACAATTTATTGATTCATTCTTCCCACCAACCCAAGTTATTCTTCAGAGTTGGCACTCTATTTCATCTTATCACATGGTTATGTGTGATAGCATGCATGCCTACGGTTGACCTCTAGATTATTTATCTTGTTTGGGTCTACCATCCTATATATTTAGCTGGATTCCCATGTTTTGCTAAATAATTGGCCCTAGTCGGCTAGTTTCACCTCACAGTCATGCCATGAAATTTGGTGGCCCAAGATGTTACATTTAACAGATTTGTCGACATCCTCCAGCCAGCAGTTAGTCTGTGGGTTTGAACGCCACGCTAAAGTATACTTGATGTGTTCAAAAATATAATAAGGACGAGGGAATTCAAGGGTAGTTCTCATCGAATACTGCAATAATTTTTCACACCATGCATCACTTTTACCTTACCTCTGGGCTCCAAAATTTAGCGCAGGGGCACATAGGAGGATTTTGACGATGTGGCTGATAAAATTTGGTCGGAAGGATTATTTCTTCAGGAAATTTTTTACTTTTGTTTAGACAAGAAAAAAAACTATTACTAAATAACTTGATCTGATGAACAGCAACACCGTGAAGTCCTAAGTCTCTGAATTGCGCTCTAAGGCCTCAATGTTAATAATCTGAAGTCAGTCGTGAACACATCCTGGAATAGGATAGTTTGTGATTGGACTGTCAGATTTGCCTTGTGCGTCAACTCAGAGAAAGAGGAATTACACGTTTATCGTCTTTCCCTTCAGACTATCAAAAGTCTCTTTATGCATGATAACATTGTTTTTTTTTGACCGTTAATAATGATCACATTTTGAACGACGTGAGGAGTAAAACATCACTCACAACGATTGGCAGCAAATTTCGCCAGCCAGGGGTCAGAATGATTTTAAATACAGGGTTCTTGCTTTAATCCCTCGTAGCTAAATTCATCATCAGTATACTAGAATTTCTGCAGACGTGAATTATTCATTCACCTCTGAATTCTGGAGTCTCGACGATTTTCGAGATGACCACCATCGGCATAGCAGTGAAAAAAGGGGGATTGTACTGCACAGATGATGAGTCGAGTCTTTAAACATCAGTCGATCAAAAAAAGTGTTCCGTCTAAAAATCATATTTGTACATTATAAGGAAGAGTTTATGAAAAGAATTGAAATTATTTTTTGCTTGAGATCATTGCGTAATTTGCAAGAAAACATGATATTGTTACTTTTTCTGTACCGTAGAATACTATTTCAAGGAGCCTCCCTCCCCTGCTGGTGCAAACTATCACACAGCAACTCCATCACTTGCATCTGATGGATGATTAATAGTTCTTGGACGAGTATGTGACGAACTGTTGGCTGACTTCAATAATAATCGTCTGTGTTGGTTGTATCCTTCCAATTCATTGAGTAGTCGGTTCAATTCTTGACTGATTTGATTTTCTAATTGAGATAAATTCATCCTATCCATTCGATGATGAATTAATAAAACAATAAGGTTGATCCAGGTTACTTATTCATCAAATTAGAAAATAGCATCACTTTGAAATGAAAAATATTGAATAGTAGTTTATGGCTGCATGGTTGGTTGCTTCGTTTATCGATAACAGTTGTATCAGTTTATGAATGGACTAGTTACTAAATAAGTTTCGATAGGAATCACTGAATCTCCACTGGGCATTTCTACTAGTTAACACACCCATATCGTCTGTAAAGTCATCGATGGATACAGTCTTTGTATCAACGGGTAAGTTATGATAAAACACCACTGTGATTGATTGTTTTTTGGACTAGCATATATGTGTAGGCTAGCTGCGCATGGTTTCTGTACGATAATAGGATTCATCCTATCAGCGGCTCAAAATGGACCTTACTAACACAGGTGTACATCCATGTCCTAAATTTTGTTTTAATTGTCCTGGTTTTCGCCGACACTATCCGTTCTAATTGGGTTTTTTTTTATTCAGTGCTGTTAGTTAAGACTGTATACTTCATAGCGGTAAATCAATAAACTTATGGACCAAATAAACATCACGTTACGTCTTATCCTATCGATTCAGCTTTAGTCATTTAGCGCGTGTAACTTTTTTTGTTAGTCGCTTGTGTCTTACACGATTGACGATCAGTTCTATTCGGGTTTGATTAAAGGCTACCAATAAAAGCGTTTGCCGGGAACAGCCATCCAGTGTAAGCACATAACAAAGCCTTTTTCGAAATATGTCCAAGTTAAATCAAAATCGTGCTATACCAGTAAGATAAACCCTTAATCTATCTAGTCAGATAAATTAAACAGTGTAATGATAGAAAAAGGATGCATAACTTCAATGCGCGTATACTAGAGGGTGTTGGATACAACACATCTCTTCAGTAAGTCATATATTCCATCTACAAACTGTTCAAATTACCATATTAATTATGTACAGCAAGTTGATGAAGTTGTCTTCAAGGACTACTACTTACCTTCCAATAGGTTGTTGCAGTACCATAATAAGTCAAGTCAAAAAAAGTTGAACAAATCGAGGTTTGACTCTTAAGAGAAGAAATTTAACCAGTTTACATGAACTATACTAGTCATAGTGAGACATCTATTCGTTAGAAGTAGTTAATGACTTGTCAAAAAAAAAATCTGAAGCAAGCATTGACGCTTGTTATTTCTCGTGGATTATTATTACTGGACCGAATTGATTGGTATCTGTTAGTACATGGGAAGGTTACTTGAACGGATGCTCCGATATTGCCTCAAGTTACATTTCGATGTCATTTACTTGTTGGCAATGGAGGTGAAGAAGGAGATGGATGGACCTGAATCTCAGCGAGTGGTAGTGTTCCCATTGACACTCGAACCCAGCACTAATCGCTCCAAACGCCAGTGTTATCCTACTAAGCTGATGGAAAGTTTCTAGTCAATAATGGGGTGACCCCTAAATTCAACTTCTTCACTTTTGTAACACACTCAGTAACAGTTGTATGCCTCTATAGCTTTTGTATGTGATGTCTAGTTTGTTGAATTGAAAACCACTAAGAAAACAGTGTAAGCCTGCTCTCATAAAATTATGTTACTGGAGTTCAGTTAAACCCCCAGTACAACTAATGCCCTCACAACCGAACTGACAAGAAACCAATACTTTCAGATAAGTAACTTGGGTGAGCCCTTCAAGGAAATTGTAATAACTGTTATATCATACGAGAATATTTTGGCTGTAGAGTTGAACTGCTTCTTGCTATGCATACTGTTCTACACAAAACACTTGCGACTGCATCGTTCAATGGTTTGAGTCCGGAAGATGGCATGTATTCATCAGCCCTGGAGACAGCAGTGGATACAACCTTATTGTTGAGTTCCAAAGCCTCCCATCGATTTAGCTGCCATCATGAAATCAAATATACAAATGCACCATACTGCTGGATCAATAAACTTGGTAGTGAAATTAGATCAGTTGGGAACTGATTGACACTTCAAAGAGTCTAAAGCAGCTAACAACTGGCGACCAATGGCGCCTGTGCTAGGTGGATAGTGAAGAGCTTTTATTAGCAGGCACGTGATTGAATTACGAATGCCAGTATTTTGGTGGTGGTGTTTTAAACAGAATCGGCACTAACTTAAACTATCTTCAGCTACAAATATTCTCCACCATCTTAGAATGCCTGTATATCTGATACCAATCAATCAGCGGTGGAGGTTAATCACGATTATCAACGGTGTCAGTAATAGAAAATTTCTACATTCCTCGATATCATCAACATACTTTGTCTTCGCAAGATGACTATCCACTTGATCGATAGCAATTTTATGTCGTTCACATTCTGACAGTAGTTCGCGTTGTCTTGCACGATTCGTATCCAACAATTGTGACCAAGGCGTGGCGGCTAGTTGAGCTAATTCTGCGACAGGGCCAACTGCAGATCCACTTAATAATTCAGGTGTAGAATAGCCATCTTTCACACCTTGTCGAGCTGATTGTTCCAAATGATTTATTTCTAAAAGAAATTATTTTGGCAAACATTATTTGCTGGTTGTATGATACTCATAGATTTTTTATGATGGGATCATATATAGAACATACATTAAATAACATTATCATCCTGCAAAATGCCAAATATCACATCATGACTGGTCTGCATGTTATACCCCAGTTGGTTAAGAGCACCAGCCATTTCACTTACCTAAGAAGTCGTATCAATCACGGCGAATTAGTGACTGCCTAACTTTTAAGCATCAGTAAGAAAATGATTGGTTGACTTCTGCAAACCTGCGCTGTCTATGTTATGCCAAAAAAATATTTGTTGAAGACTTCTCTAGAGCTGAGTGTACTGCATAGTAATACAACCTTTCCTACTGCATTTATGGTTGGAACAACCATTAGAGACGGGAGGTGTGTCACAGCTACAATACTGGGAAATTGCTGTCTTCGTGGCATCACTACGCGAGTGATGCAGAGGAATAGTGCAAGTCAGTTGGTGAGATATGCAGAATATGTGGTACGCATGACTAGATATGGGATTAACTTTGCTTCTCTATATTACCTGTCTTAGGATTAGGCTGGAAAAGGTTAAAGGTAGCCGGTTCAAGACATGGCATCAACCCATGAAGTCGCTGGAACGTCTCAGTTTCTTGGTTGAATTCCACGAGATTGGAAATTGGTTACTGGAACAAAATAAGTTCCAGAATCAAATGCACTGGTGCAGACGTAATGACCCTTCGTCGTCATAGTAACCTTAAATATTATATACTTGTACTTAGTTAATCCATTTTTTTGAGTTCTTAATTTCTTTTACAGGAGCTGGCATATTAACCCTTTCTGTTTCCCCTTTTGTTGGATTCGCATTCATTTTGCTGTTGTGAAGTGTGTGACAACTAGAACTGACAAGCGGTTATGCTACATCCTTGTATCATCTGTAGCGCTGATTGGCAAGATAACCAACTATCTATTGAAGAACGACTACACGGTTGTAAGACATGACCGTTAAAAGCAGAAGACGTGAAGCAGTTACTGCTTCTCGGTCACAGGTGTCTTCGTAGCATTGCTCGTGTGGTGGAATCATCACATGAGCAATGTCGAGGTTAGATCAAGACGGCTAGGCAAGGGAGACAAGTGAATTAATGGGGTTAGGAACTTTCAGCGACTGAGTTGGCTTCGGTAAGTGTTGTGCATGCCGAGACACTACGCACCATTATAACCTTGACGTGCAATACTTGGGGGAAGTCGGGTCAGATTGGAAGACGGCTCAAAGTGACCAGACCAAGACGTGACAACAGTATATGCAGTCCCTGACTTTTGTTCTGAGTCATATAAGCGGAGGTGTAGACTACTTGGCTAGGGGTCCCCAAGGCGGTAGAAATCGGTGGTTGAGGACTCTTGGTGAAATAGCTGAAAACCCGTTGCAATTGTGCACATGCGTTCACCCTTTGATTTCTTCTAAAGCGGTAATGTTTTTAACTAACCTTAATTTTCGAATTCCCTCTCTCCCCACACACCTTTGATATTAGTCCTTCCCATCCATATGTTTTTTGTATACTACTGTGAAGAGTAGCCAATCGAATTGATGCACTTGTGTGTGAGGTTCTACGTTGATTTTGTTTGTCTGTTTTTTGTCGTGCAGCTATTAAGCCTAGTAGTTAGGATGTATTCTTTAGTTTTAAAATGTAGCATGCTTTCATCTTTCAGTCACGTACGTTTTTTTACAGAACACAATTATGCTCTCATTAGAATAAATCATCAGAGCACATAAGTCACACTGTTACAGAGTGAAATTTACACTATCAAATTTATCAGACTCTTGTGGTGAATTGAGTTGACTGTATATATATCATATTGGTTTAATTAATAACATCTCGATTCCACATCCGCTTTGATGATGGAGCTCAGATATACACAAAACCTGCGTTCAGCGTTTTTTGCCGATTGACCCCTAACAACACTTGACACCAAAATACAGTGCACCACAGTAACGAGTTACTTAGTTTAGTGGCCAAACCAAAAACTTGGTCGATGGACTTCTATCAGTGCCGACTACTAGCGACTTGGAAGTTGTTACACCACGTGCTCTCTGGTGACCGACTGGTGTTGAACATAGTGAATATTTACCTTGTTCAACATTAACACAAAGTCTAACAAGCTTCATAAAACTTTGTATTAAACTCACATATGGCAGAGTTTCTGCGTAGTAGTTCAAGTTGCCACTGTCTGCATCATCGCATCAAGATACATGGCGATACGATGAAAGACATAAATGTAAATAATGCAAGTCATAGAGAGACAGACAAAATCAAAGTAGAACTTCAGTTCAAGTCGCTACACTTCATAGAAGTATACAAAGAACAAGTGGATAGAAAAAGACATAACCAATTGCACAAAGGTGTATGGGAAGAGAGGGAATTTAAAAATAAAGGTTAGCCAAAATATACACGCTTGATAAGACATCAAAGAGTTAATACATTTGCACCATTGTGATCAGTTTTCAGCTATTTCACCAGAAGTCCCCAACCACTGATTCCTAAGGTCTCGAGGCCTTTAGCCAGGTAGTCAACACCTCCTACACGACTCAGACCAACAGTCAGAGATCTATGGACTGATGTCAAGTTTTAGCCTAACCGATAGCTGAAAAAGAGGATGAATAAACCGTTTGATTCTGTAGTAACCAGATATTTCTTATAAATAAAGATAGTAAATGAATTTTCAAGGTGACTTTGGAATGCTTAGTTGCACTTAGTGACTCATCAAAAGTTGTGTCGCAACAATCCATTTTTTTCTTTTATACTGCCGTGAGTCACGGCAAATAAACGTGGAGCTGCAGATATTGGTCAAAGTGATCATGGGATTATCGCTTACAGTTTATTGACCTATATTAAATATAGGCAAACAAGATAAACCTTTCGATGAAGTCTGCTCCACAAGGATGTGAACTAATACACTGTTTTTCAGCGTTGGTATTAATAATGGACAGATAGTGGCTAGCAGTAGAATCCAGGGCATGGATTTCGTTTTTCAGATCCCACTGGTAGCTTCTATAGACTATCGCTGACGTCGAAACTTAAAATAGCAGCAGTACTGGGGTATCCGCACAGAGGTTCATATGCCAGTAGCGGCCGTTCAATTTCGAGGCAATCAAGGATGGAGATTTAAGAGCTATGGGATCAAAATTATGCTATACCCGTTGCACAAGGAGTGACTGACTGACAAAGTCAACGTAGAACCTCACACACGGGTGCCATCGGCTTAAGTTGCCACACTTCACAGTGGTACAGGAGGATAGAAAAAGATTGATATCAAAAATAAAGTTGTGTGAGAGAATAAACAATTTGAAGATGAAGGTAAGTGCAGGCATTCAACCTTTAGAAGACACCGAGTGAATGCATCTACGCCATTGTGACTGATTTTCAGACATATCACCAAAAGTCTTCAACCACTGATTCCTTTTGTCTCAAGGACCCCCATCCAGTCAGTCTGCATCGCCCCACGCAACTCAAACAAACAATAAGAGATCTCGTCGACTGGCGCAAAGTCTTGGTCTGGCCACATTGAACCCTCTTCCAACTTAATCGAACTTCTCCTAGCATGGCACGTTGACATAGGCAGTGATTCGGCATGTGCAGTACTTGTACAAGTCATCTCAGTCGACTAACGTTCACAAACTCATCAATAGACTTGCCTATTACCCTTCGCTAGACTTCAAAGCCGCTCATACGGCGATTCAACCGCACGCAGACATGTGTTCGAAACCCTGTAATCGCTCCTAGTTCTACTTTTGACAGCCGTATAACAGAACAGAACGGGCTGCAGAGCGGTGTTCTTGTCGTTCGATGGATTATTGGATATCTCGCCAGTTGGAGCCCCAGGCGACGCAAGTTGGCAAATGCCAAATGGATCTTCTGTATCCGAGCTGAGATTTCGTCAACACCCAGCCTGTTCTGGCTGATTCAAGTGGTCGACACATTCCACAACTTCACATCCTATCATTAAACTGGGAGTGTTTGCAGACCAGTCAATCCTCGAGCATCATCTTACATTTGACAGGTGCCAGTGAAACGCATGCCAAATATACTGACTGCCGCTCAACGCGTTCAGAAGACCTTGCATTTTGTCAGCGTCTTCGCCCAGCAAGACAATATCTTCTGCATACTCCAAGTCAACCAGATGACCTTCAGGGAGTAGGTCAATCCTTGTGAATCCAGACGTAACCTAAGGTTTTGTCCATTAGTACGTCAGTGACGAAGTTAAACAGGAACTGTGACAGCGGACATCATTGGCGAACACCACCAGTTGTCGTCAATTCACATGACAACTCTTCATTAGCCATGACACGGTTGCGTGAATTCGTGTAGAGTTGTAATTCGTGTTATATATACTTTCTCGGTACTCCACTCACAGTCATACATTGCCACAACACCTCACAGTCGACAGAGTGAAATGCCATCTTTAGGTCAGGAAATATAGTAAGTGTCAGTTATTGGCCGGTAAGTATGCCTGTGTCCCAAAATCTGTCGGAGGGTAAAAATGTGGTTGATGCACCCTTGAACAGGTCTGAGACCTGTCTAGTTTTCTCGAGCTCCAGTTAGACGTCAGATAACTCTGGACTCTAGGATCTGACTCTGGCCTAGTGGATAACGCCCTGGCGTTTCCTCAGTTTGTTTGAAGTAACGTCTACATGCCCAGGCTAAATAGATATGGGATATTTGTGAATAGTTAGTCACTGTGTATTTCAGTTTATTGTCGTCAGCTGGAAGGCAGTATGGTAGATAACTTTGGGTAGACACACCGACACGGTAATAATTTTTCAAGGATATATTTTTCTTACTCTGAGTTGGCTAATGTCAAAGTGTTTGTAAACCCTTCATATAAACGCAAATACCTAACCTTAAACACATGATGTTAAACTTTGATTAATGAATAACTGTTTAACGGATTCACTTAAGTGAATGAATAATGGTTGAGAACGGTTAAAGTTTGATAATTCTAAGGATACCGAGCCGTTTGTTT